CCTTCGAGGAGTGGCTGGTGGGTTTGAACCGCCAGTCGTCTGGTTAGCAGGCAAGTGTCTTAGCCACTATGCTACCAGAGCTCCCATCACTACAGAACTAGATTATTCTACCTTCCTTCCGAGGAGTGGCTGGTGGGTTTGAACCACCAGCCCTCTGGTTAGCAGTTAAGTGCCTTAGGCACTATGCTATCAGAGCTCATAAATACATGTTAGCACATAGAAAGTAGCTTTTATTATTTACTGAAGAAGCATACAATACACAACAAGACACATTCCATGGTGAGCAGTCCCCCTGGCTCAAAAACTGAGCTTAGATGATGATTGTTCCATACACACCCCAATTTGTGTTGTGGGTGAGGGACTTAAATGAGACAGTTACATGATGGGCTTGCCCCCTAACACTTCTTTCTGAAGTAGATGTAAAGAACCCTTCCATGCATTCCCTTTCCCTGGTATTGTGGCCAAGGGACATAATGGTAACCTGCCTTCTACCTGTTTCTCTCTGGCCAGGTAGGTCCACTTAGTTTGGGTTATAAGATTAATGCTACACATGCCACAATAGCACCGGAGTTGAGATCATGAGGTGCCCCACTTGTCTATTTTTATACTCCAAAGCTCACATGGCAGGCTATATAGGCAAGCTCAGGTGTGTGGGGGCCTCAAGCCTCATCAAACACCCTCTCTTCCTGAGACTTGTTGCCAAGAGGATGAATTAGGTGCTCCCAATTCATTTACATATGTTTAAGTCTGGGTTGGCTATCTTAGAAAGACAGCCAAACTAAACCCACTACTATGGAGTCATTCCAACTCAGCGACCCTATAGGACAGAGTAGAACTGCCCCATACGGTTTCCAAGGCTGTAAATTTTTATGGACGCAGACTGCCAGGTTTTTCTCATACAGAACAACTGGTGGGTTTGAACTGCCGACCTTTTGGTTTGCAGTTGAGCACTTTTACTACTGTGCCACCAGGGCTCCTTTAGAAAGTTACCTTGATTGCTCAGGCTATTTGCAGGTGCCAGATACAAAAAGCCAAATTTAATTCTTTGTCCTACAGTTGACCCTTTTGGCTTTTGAATATGGTTCTTTTTATGTAATCTAACATTTAGAAAATTATTTCTTGTCCCCCCTAATACCATCAGTATTAGTCCAGTGTGGGGAGGAAGGGGAAGACACAGACACCAGGCCAGTTTGAAGGCTGCCTCCTTACAAGTACAATGGCATCTTTTAGTGAAAAATGGTGGCTATAGGAGGTTAAAGCATTCTTACGAGATTATGAAAAGGCAAATCTATTTTTTTAGGGGAATATATATTTTCAAATATTTGGAGGATTAATTTAAATGGATTCAGCAAATATTTATTAAATGCCTACTTTTTGCAGGCACTATGCAAGGTAGTGCTGTTTCACATATTATCTTGGTGATGAGAGAGAAAGAAGAAAGAAATTTAATATAAAGCAAGATGAGATAAATGTTGTAGTAGAAGTATATAAGTTATATATTGTGAGGATGAGGTAATTCATTCTGCCTGAGAGGACTTAGGAAAGTTTGATGGAGAAGATGGCATTTCATCTGGGCCTTAAAGGATAAGGAGGATTTTAATAAAGACTGCAAAGGACATGAGCTTACTTCTGCTACAGTCTGAGATGGATAAATGAATGGAGAATATTGGAAAAATAGTATTTTCAAATTGAAAGTATCCTACCTCTTATACTTTTGAGACTGTCATTATAGCAAAACTTACTAGAAAAAAAATACCCTGCATTGAAAAAATAAAATATATTTAAATATAAGTATAATTATTTCACCAATGGGAGCTCTGGTGGCATCGTGCCTAAGGCACTTGACTGC